CCCCTCCCCGGTGTGCGCGGGCAAGTGCCTCCTTGGAAGCACGTTATACTCCATTAATTCACTTCAATCAACAGAAATCAAAATTCGATTTTTTTCATAAAATTGACTCATTAAAAGAAACAGCTAAGGATGAAGTCATCATTTACCTAAGGCCTCGGCCGACAAGGTGGCCGAGCTCGACGGCGGCCGGGCTGGAAGGAGGGATCGGCCATGGGAGAGAACTCGGTGAAGATGGAAAGCGAGCCCTCGTTGTCGGAAGAGAGAGAGAGAGAAGAAGGCCGGCGGCGGCAGCGACGGGAAGAGGACGCAAAGAGAGAGAAAACGTCAAGGGAAAATGAAGAAGAAGAAGATAGGGTATATTAGATCAAACTTATTTGCGACGACATTATCGTCGCAAATAAATTTAAAATGTCGTCGCAAATAATGTTTAAGTCATCGCAAATAATCATTTTTTCCGCCTTTAGTTTTTGGTGAAATCTTAAAAAGATTATTTGCGACGACAAAGAGAAAATGAAGTCACAAATAACATGAAATTATTTGCGACGACATTGGACACTAGTGAATCCTAATCAGATTAGAATTATTGTTGGTTTATTAAACGACAATAATTTCGCCTTTGTTACAAAATATTTGAACGGTTTTGCATTAAAAAAAAGGGTGTTTCTCTAATAAGATTGAAAAAAAAATATATTAATAATTTTATATTTTTAAGTCATTAGATCTATATTATAAATAGTATGATTTTTATATTTTTTTAATTTAATGCGACTGTGATCAAATTTTAAGGGTTAAAAATTATTTTTATCAATAGAAAGAAGGTCCCTTAAAAAAAATTATAAAATCTTCAAGCTTTGGATTGTGTAGTAGTGTGTATGAGATCTCCGTGGGGTAGCGCAGCATGGGATCACGGTGCTTCCTCTGGGGTGGCAGCAGCAAAGAGGTGATTCTCTCGTAATGACGTACATACTTCACAGTTCACAGGCTGCAAATTAAGAGACCCCAAGGTGTATAGAGTGCAGGTGCACCGTAAGCCAAAAAGTCAAAGGAGTGGGGCACCCCCCCCATTTGACTCAGACAGATAGAGAGAATCTAAGCAGCAGTGCTTACAGTGAAGTGAAAGGGGGTCTTCCTCTGCCTTAATTTGCGTGCCCTTTGGCGTTTAGCTTTAATATTCTCTCTCTCTTCTCTCTCTCTCTCTGTTGCAGTAATTTTTTCTGCAGTCATTTGTTTTGGGGCTTTCCATTCAATGCTTGCTACGCCCAAACGGGGCGCGTCTCAGGCACGGTCACGGTCAATTGGTAGCGTAGCTTCTGCCGTATAGCAACGGTTTGTTTATTTACTTGCACACTATTTTACCGTGAAAATTATAACATTATTCGAATTTAAAATTTAAATTTTATTATAATAAAAAAATTTTAAAAATAATTATATTTAACTTTTTTATTACAGTAAAAAATTTTCACATAAAATCGCATTTTAACTCAAATTAAAAGCTCAAATTAACGAACTAAACGGACCATTTCTTTAGGCTTTTCTCAATTAGAAATATAAGTTTTGACAGTGCTAAACCGCTTAATATGTTAAGTGTTTGTATCAGTCTAGGCTGACCCACTCTTTTTCTTATGGTCAGACTGGCGTAGTTTGGTGAAAATAACGGAGACTCATGAATTATGAGCAATTTTTTCATATTTTTTTAGATTATTGTTCTTAAATTATATATTTTTGTAACAATTTTGATTGTTGATATTAAACGTAGTATATTAATGTTTAATTAATTTTAGGTATAAAACATTATAGGTTTCTTTTTAGGATTTTAACAATAACAAAGAGTACATTTTTTACTCTACGTAATTATTTTTATAAAATTTCAAGTTAGCACACAATGAGTACATCATTCACGTTTCTAAATTTATAAGAATTCATCGTGAACTTCATAGCGAGGGCTATGAGTAATCTGCCGAAAAATTCAAATACCTAAATTTCATAATGCAGAAGAAAAATGGTATTAACACCCTTTGAAAGTTCCTTCAAAAATTAAGGATTTTAAAGAATATTATTCGTGGGATGCGTTTTGGTATTATCAAGAATTTGAGGACAAAAGTGATATTTTGTTAAATCTCGAGGGTAAATGTTGAATTTTACGAAAGAAAAAAATTGTCGGAATTAAACATGAATCTATAGAGAAATAAAATTAAAATAAATAAGCTTGGATAGATGTGTAAGAGAATATGTACGGACCAATATTTATGTAATATGGGGGAGGTGCTGCAAAAAGGAAAAGGAGAGAAAATAGAGATAGATACGGGGGCAGAAGGGAATCCACATAAGTAATCTAGCAACCAAAAAAACCTGGCAGCAACCCACGGGACCGTATTCAAACACATTTA